AGTAAAAATTTAAGGATATAAAAAGAAAAACTGGAGATAAAAGGAGATGATGACCCGTGAGATGTAGGTTACGATAAGAACTTACTCGCAACGGCTTGGTTCATCGACATCCATAAGCTCATTTTTCAACCCACATCTTAGTTTCACCTGCATTTAGTGAGACAGTCAAGCTTTGTATATCTCTGTGATCTTTGCAAGCGCAAAAATCTTCTCAGATAATTTTTTTTATATAAATATAATTGGAGAAAATATTAATTGAACAATTAGTTTGGATTTAATGTAATCAGACACTACCTTCAGGCTTCTATCGGGACCATTCCAGCATTTTTCTCCGTTGGTATATGACATGAATTGGTAAGAGTTCTCAAATTTGTCCCACTCCCTATTTTAGCAAATTCCATTAAACAAAATAAGGAAGCGACAAAATAAGCACAGATAAAATAATCACTCATATTTAATTATCATCTGCGAACCAATTCCTTGTTATTAGTTATCTGTATCATGAAAGAGATCAGCATGCACAGAAAAGATAAAGTGGCATGACACTTACCCTAACCGAGTTTTCGAATAGCCCTCCTCTTGTGTTGCTTCTTTATATGCGCAGACTTTGTAAGTATACCTACAGCATTATTTAGGTAATAACAGTAAATGCATCAGATATATAATTCTAATAGCTGATAGTAATGTTAATAAAGAATGGATGTGACATTAAATTGCTAAGATTATTCTTACTTGCCCTGTTTGCTCTCTAAACAACGACCATGGAATGAATAGAACTCTTTCTCTGGTCCTGTTATAAACAATATATAAGGACTAACTCAAAGAAAGGTAAACGTAAGTGAAGGCTTAGGATGTCTTATCATACAGACCAAAGTCTTGTTTTAGCTTCTTTTCTAAGCTCGATATCCTTGACTGTATTTTATTCAGTTTGGAGCTTGACTCGTCGTATTCTTTGCGTACCCGATCAGCCTCTGCACATTCCACAACAATATAGATGAATCACTAAAGAATACGAGTATCACTATGAAAATGCTAAACTATTTTTTTACCTGATTTGTCCACTGGGGTGGTTTGGAATAAATTCACAGCCAGCAAAATGTTCTTGACAGTCTTTTGTATCTTCTCCAACCAAGTAGGATTTGAGGTTGTCTCTATCAGTAATGAAATTCAATCAAGTCAACTAAATATGATAGATGATTAACATCGTTCAAGAATATAAACATCTGTGGAAATAGTGCAGACCTGAAAAATCGACATCATCATCTGCATCAGATTTGTATGAAGAACTAGAATCATGGCGATACTCCTCTTCATAGGAATCATCTTCAGGTTCATGGTCGCTGTATTTCCCATCATCGCTGGTATCCTCATCACCATCTGAAACAAATCCATCATCTTCATCTGCTTCATGTGCAGTGATGGGCGTGTGCTCATGGTTTTCCTGATCATCAGCTTTGGGGATATCGTCTGCCTCAGTTGGCTTATCAGATTTCTCTCCTGTCCAACGAGAGGCAACAAGACGCCCCAACTCTTCCTTTGACAACTCTTCCTTCTTCTCGGTTACAAAATCCTCCTATCGATAGAATGTAGAGTACTCTAACGTTAGGAAAAAGTCAGGAATTCAATAATCTCCGAGATATAACTCAGAAGGGGTAGAGTTATTGAAAAAATGCAATAGACAAGTCTCAAAAAGAAAGAGTTATTCTCATCACGGAAGTTCAGAGAACTATACTCAGATTTGTAAGCACTTGGCCAGAAATTGAAAGTAAATTACCACTTTCTTAACCTCGTCTGATTCCTCCTTTTCAGCACTACCATCATTTTGAGATTCATCTGTGGGGGAAGAGGAATCCTCAGATGAGGTAGATTCCTCTTTTCTCTCCACAACATGCTGCATTGTAGGCAAACCTCGTATCATCATCCCATTTCAAGTAACAGATTGCACCACTTTTGGAAAAGCATATGTGTGAAATAATTTTTCAAACCTCGTCTGCTGGATTAGTGTGAGTAGCCTCATCCAATATACTTGTTGGTTCACCTTCAGCTGCTGGCTCCTGAAGTCAAATTCTAATTCAGTACTCGGTTGAATTACACAACCCGAAAGCAAAACAAGAGGACTCAAGAAATATAAAAAGCACTGAATGTATTGATGAGGGTTCGTAGTCATGTCAATGAGTTCAAGATAGCCAAGTTTTAGATTTCAACGATGATGAATAAAAGATAGAGTTTCAAGCATCTCACATATTGAAACTCTAATATGTTTCATGACCTCATGATTCATGAATGAGCAGGAGGTCCAAAGAGGACCAAAATATTGACAAATGTTCTGATAAGCTTATCTTTCATTGTTTGACTACTTAACTTGTTGAATAAGTACAATAAAAAAATACAAAGATGAAAACGTGCAAATCTATTTCAGTTTACAAGAGAAGAACTAACCTCATCTGAAGGATAATCCTTGTAATTACCAATCTCATCATGATGTGTGGTTTCATCGTGTTGTGAAACTGCAGGCGTCCCTTCATCATGTGAGCTTTCTTCAACTTTTTCACTGTCATCTGTCTTCTCCTCAGCATCCCCTTTTCCTTGCTGGGCTGCTAATTCGGCCTCTTTCTTTTCCTTTTCCTCCTTTTCTTTCTGTAGACGCTCCTTCTCCTCTACCTTCTCAATTTGTTCTTTACGATCTACAGAAGAAATGAGCCGAGGGAAATGTAAAACATGTCAACTTGGCAAAAAGAATTCTTTATCATCTGTAGTCATCATAGAAAGAAGTTAATGATCCTATCAGATTCCACTACTTCAACTACAAGTCATGTATTTTTTTAACTTTCTTCCTATCCTTTTGGTGGTTAGTTGAACTTTAAGGGCTGATCCCGAAGCATTTCAAGCATCGAACTACACTTATATGCAGGGTTCCGCTTTCACATTCCAATAAACTAATTATCTCATGGTACTACCATATGAAAAAACTAAACCTCAACTCTCATGCCGCAAAATCAGCAAACAAAAATATTCAATTATGCATCAAAAGGAAGAACGGCAAACCTTTCAGCTGATCAACAAGGCCTTTCAGAATCTTCTGCTCACTTTTCAGCTTCTTCAATTCTGCTGCATCTTTCTCCAGACCCACTTTCGCCTGTTCGATTTCCTGTCTCCTTATTACAAGCCCTTGATTATATGTTTCAATTTTCTTCTTCAGATTTTCTCGAGCAGCTTTTCCAGCTTCCCAGCATGTATTTTGGCATGATACTTGACCATCATACTCATCACTTCCATCACAACAATCTGCTCCCATAGGTAAGCAAGCCATTAGTACGAATAAGCTAACACTTCAACAACTTCTTCCTCTGCCATGCATTTGAAAACACAAATGCTTGCAAAGAAGAGGTTCAACAAAATTTAAAATGTAAATAACTACAGAATTTGAGTAACATACCACAAATACCATCATTAACTCTGGAAGAAAACAAAATCACCGGAGAGTGGCCGGCGTTCCGGCAATAGAATTTTCCAGTTGGACAAGCTGAGGTACCTGGAGTTTTTACCACATAAAGCAAAGCAAAGCAAAAAGATGATCATCCATAACACATATACTCCCAAAAAGCAAAAAAAAACTTTATTCCACTAAACCCAAAGTATAACTTCAATAATCACCGCTTTTGAATTCAAATGAAACCAATCACAATCCTAAACCAAAGAAAAGCTACACAATTTTTGTTCAACAGAGAAGAATCAATCCAATCGAAAAACACAAAATGCTTATGAGAAGAAGAGAAATTGAGAAAATGAAAAGAACCTGGCTCGTCAGTTCCATCTGAACAATCACAGAAATCGTCATTAAGCTGAGCTTTCGTGAATTTCTTTGATCCATCCTTACACTTAATCTCTGAAGATGACTTGTAATACTTCTCATCTAACACACATAAACGAGAAAAAGAAATATCAAATCGGAGTGATTATGGTGAAGATCTTAAGCAAAACGAAGCAGATCTTTCAATGAGCAGAAAACAAACCTTGAGGAGAAATGCCGAGAAACGGATCGTTCGGTGGAGACGAGCTTGATCTAATGGCAGAAGCAAGGAGAAGAAGAAAGGATAGTTGCAAAGAGACGGAGACAAAGGAAGATATTACTACTACTCTCATCTTCTTCGAGATCGGAACCGGAGAATGAACGGAGAATCAAAAGATTTGGCCACGAGAAAGATCAAGTGCAGTGTCTGTGAGACAAAGTTTGGCAGATTTGATAAAACGACACAGTTTGGTTATGCATCCTATTTTGTATAATTAGAATTAGTTAGCTTGATTCAACTTAGTAATCAAATAGGCCCATTAGCTCAGTTGGTTAGAGCGTCGTGCTAATAACGCGAAGGTCGCAGGTTCGAAACCTGCATGGGCCATCAATTTTTTAACTCTGTCCTTTGTCGAAACGTCGTCGCTTTCTTTCTTTATTAGCCGTCACTCAAACTATAAATTTGGTTAAACTAATGGGCCTATAACTAGCCCAAACCGAATAAAATGGCCTTTCGTCACGCTTTAAGAACTAGGGTTTTCGAAAGTCCACCACTATCATAATTGCATATATAAACTCATCTTCTCAGTTAGGTTACTATGTCCGATCAATTTTTATTCTCTCCGCCGCATATTTTGATGTACTATGGTTTAGATATCTTATGTTCATTCGACTTTTTTCAAAGAAAGCCTAATTTGCAAATTTCTTAATCTATACAATTTATTTGTAATGGATTAAGGAATCTATCGTTAGGCGAAAGAGATGATGGATTTGTAATAATCTCCGGTAAGTTTACGTGAACCTCCGTAAGCTTGGTCTGCTTCTGAAAACTCCGAGTTTTCTTTTTCTTGACCAAAGGATACTCGGTGGATAGAGGCAGATACATCTATCAATCTCTGTATCGAATTTGGTTTTTGTTTTTTTTGCATTAGATATATTTAGATCTATGAAATTGTGAAAATCTGTGTTATTATTAGTGGTTGATGGATTGGTGAGGGTGATGAAAAAAATCATTCGGATTCCCAATGATTCCCTTACGTACGGGAAATTATGTGATTATTTACCAGCTACTTTTGACTCATCATCCATCATTATGTTTTTTGGTTCTTAAGTTTTGTTTGCTATGTATTTACTAAGTTGTTTTGGCCGGTGATGTAATCAAAATATTTGCTACTCTTGATGAAGAATTTCTTCAGTTGATGATATTTACCACCAAGATCTCTGAGGCCTTTTTGAATTGTTTTTAAAAATAAATGTCCCATACAATCCTTGTTTTTGTTTGAACTAAATGGTTTTCTTTGTACATTTTTCATTTCCGTAAGCTAAGTTCTTTATTGACATTTTTAGACGAGTCTTTTACTATTCTTTTGCATTGATTGCTTATAACCAGATAAGAACTAAGATGTAAAAATAAAATACTAAAGAGAAGAACTTTAATAATGTGAGTAAAATTATTTATCGTTTGCTTGAGGTTATCAAAATCTGTTGATAACTATTGAAATTATTTTCGTCGGGCTAACTGCTTATCACCACTTTCTATAAACTGATTATTAACAATTCGGACATTCCAAAGACATTTTTGTCGAACTAGAGTAAGATGGTGAGATTGATTAATGGATATGTTTCTTGCCCAAAAAAGGAAAAAATGGTCTGTGTCAGGATAAACTTACCCGATCACTCCCACACACGTTACATAGAACAACCACATTGATAAATATGCTGGTGGTGTATCGTATGGCACGTGTGTTGGTACAAACAAATGGTGGATCGTTGACACGTGAACAAAACTTAATTCCAATGGTTATATCGTTATGAACACCCAAATGTTTAAAAGCATGCACCACCAATAATCTTATTCTTTTTTAGCCGATTGTTGGATACGACATGCATAAGCCCTTGAATTGATATCTACGTGAAGCCGAAAGTGAGATTTAGGTATGACATGCGCAATACCACTGAATTGAATTGGTACCCTTATTTTTTGTATTCCACTAGGCACTAGTAGTAGCTATGATATATAATCGATCAATGAACTAATAGTAATTTCAAGCCATGCACGCCGATAAAACAGTACAAACCTCAAAATGATATGATATTGTTTGGAGTTTGTTAACTCTTTTAATTGTCGTTCTTTTCTTCATATAAAAAATACAAGAACTTAAGAGTTAAGATATTGATAAAATTTGGGAATATCAGAATATGTTGAAGGATATACTGAGAAAGTTACGAAATGGCTTTTTGATCCATAATCTAACTTAGTCAATATTGAATAGATTTTAGTTCCCACACGAAAATCTCGCTAAAACCCAATGCTATATTTGTTTGAATTATTCAAATTTAGACGACTAAACACAGTTCCAATGGCTAATGCCACTTCTTTCATTGCCCTCGCTTATCTTCTTGCATCTGGTTCGAACTCTTTCTTCTTCCTTAAAATCTTATGTTTTCTCTGTGCATGTGTCTGAGCGATTGATAATTAAATGTCCATGATTGTTTTATAGATATTTATATGTCCATGATTGTTTGTTTCAGTTTACATTATATTGTTTGCATATACATTTTAGTGTTTACCTTTACCACTTCCAAATGAAAACTGATTTTTTATTTATTTTTTTTTTAATTTCAAATGATTTTTTTTTCTTTTGCTATTGTTGAATCTCATATAATCGCAAACACATATATCGTAGTTAAAACAATTGAGATTTAGGCTTCTCTATCATTTATTATTCAACTAGACGCCTTTCAAATCTTAAAACTGACGTCAAACACTTTTTTTGTTTTGTTTCTTTCTTTGGCAAATGGGAGAGAAGCGTTAATGACTACGGTGGTGCTTGGGAATCGGCAATGTGTACAAGCCATGGATTGCACAAACGTTTGTTCACACGGTGGTCTCTGCACCAAAAACGGTAAGTGTGTTTGTTGGTCGCCAAACGTAGTGATCAACAGCGGACCTCCGTGCTGGTCGGATGAAATGTGCTTTAGTACATGTGGTGGAAATGGTGGTTATTGTAACTATGATATTGGAGGATGTTTCTGCCAACGATATCTTAGGAAGTGTTCTATTTTGTTTCGGATGAATAGAATAGTTGTAAACTTGTAGTCGACTAGTTTATGCCTTACATTTAAATACATAAATAAGTGCTGCTCGTTGACATAATGTAAGTGTTTCTGATTGGTTCTACATCCAGACCGAAACTTGTGTTTTTCTTCTAATAGTTTGCTCATAATCTAGCCTATTCTTCAGCCCAAAAGGCCATAACCTAACCTATTTCTCAAGTCTCAACCAAATCTTGTTTCTGTCCTACTCTTTTGCATGTTCCTATATATTTCAACTTACTGATTTGTCGCTTACCTAGTTTTAATATGGCCATATTTCCCAAAATTAAAACCACTGTGATTTGATTTGTGGAAAAAGTTTTCCGGAAAAGATGAAAAACCATATCTAAGGTGGAGAGTATAATCTATATGTGATGAGTAAAGCTGTTTATCTTTCTTTTTTTTTGGGATAAAATTACAGCTGTTTAGTTTTCTTATATTTAGATTATGACAACTAGATATGTTTGAATAGGTGTCAGATTGTTAATTCTAATATATACAAATTTTAAGATAAGAAATACACACTAAAATGTTATTTTAGAATATCTCTTAAAAGGTTAGAATTTATTTCTTTAGATATCGTGTCCTTTAAGATGCTAGATTCATAAAAGACAATTCGTTTCCTTAAAGTTTTGTTAGAAAGTTACACATCTTGGCCTATATAAATAAGTTAACCAAATTGACAACAAAAATATAGCAAAGACGAACCCAAAAATACAATCTAGTTAAACAACAAACAGTACACATGACAAAGATCGGTTTCTACTTAGCTACATATGCAACCATCTACATCATATTATCACCTGGTCTGTTTTAATTTTTCCACTTCAACTATCTATCTTTGTATGATCAAAGTATCTTTGTAATCTTGTACTCAAGTTTTTTAAAATATGGTCACACAGGGCTACTAGCCACGGCGGCGCGTGAGAATCTGCATCACCAATGCTTTTGCGAGTCACCAAGCAAGTGTGATTGCTTCCCAACGACACCAACACCGCCAACATCTGTGAATAAGTCACGGAAAGGCGGACCACTATGTACGACAGACGGTGATTGCAAACATTTTTGTCGTCCTAAAAAAGGTGTTTGTAACATCGATTTCGAAACGTGTATTTGTCAATGAAATTTGTTTCAGATTAGAAAAATCTAACGACGTGTGTGTTCTAGTGATCTATAGATCCTCAAATAAAGACTTTAACCTTGATATAACACAAATATGGCTATTTTTCCATGATTTTCATTTCGTCTTCAAAATAAATATCAAGTAAATTCTATATTTTTCGACTCAACTTCATAAATCTTCATTCCTTTTAAAAAGGTTTTAACCACTCTTACTACAATAACATACAAGTCATTAGAAATAACAGAATGGCCATATTTCTATAAATCCAATCTCCAAACTCCTGTAAGATCGTTGAGGGACTGAGAGAGATAGAGAGTCCACACCAGCATTTAACCAAACTCATGTTCTATTACCTTCTCTTTATACAAAAGCTTACTTAACCAAACACAAGCTCACACTCTGCTGAACCCCTTGGCAAACGCGCCAATTCCATGAGTATACGATATTTCATTCCAACTGTCGTACGTAATTCGATTCTCACTTGTTTGCAGTCTGCTGGCGAAAAGGTTGCAATCTTCAGACGTCTTGAATGTTTCAAGAGAAAACTTGCGAGTTCGTTTTCCATCTTCAACCCTCTGTAGTTTCTCCACTCCAAAGTCTCAAGAACAAACATCAAAGTTTCAGGAACCGAGCTTGGTTCCTCCCAATGAAACATAGGATCACTTTGAGAAACAATAGTGTAGCCGTGGGTCTGAGTTCATTATTAGACCATTAAAGAACATTTAGTCAAGATAACACGCAAAGTTTTTCATAGTTTCAAAAGGGCACACTTACCTCGTTAAGCTTGAGAGATCGAAGTTTCGGGGAATGTTTGAGCATAAACATAAGTATATCCCATTCTGTGCAACAAGAACAAAACTCCAAGTGTTCAAGCTGGTGGAAGATGGTACCAGTAGGTAACTCAGGCTGCAGTACAAAAAAAAACAAATAAGCGTAAAGACTTCAAGTTTGATTTAATCACAAACATAATTCTTACCTCTGTGGGTAAACATAGCAAGAGGCGTTTGACTGATGCAAGAGATGTAAGGATATCATCAGTGGAACATGCAACCTCAACATGTGCTTCCACAATCTCAGGCAAATTCCCAATCATACACTCGTAACCACAACCTGAAAGCTTTAAGTACTTCAAAGAAGGCGTATTCATCACAAGCTCAGCACCAGATCCTCCACAATAGATAAATCTTTGTAACGAAGGCACCATAACAGAGAAACTCATAACATTATCAACGTCGTCGTCATCTCGAGTCAAATCAAAGACTTCAAGAATAGGGCAGCTTGATAAAAGCTTCTGAGGAGTTTCCTTGTCTAGGAAAATCACATACTCCAGGTGCAGCGTTTTGAGCAACTTAAAACATACCGGGAATTGTACATCCTTGAGCGATACGTTTTTTAGTTTTAGCACCGTGAGTGTTCCGCATGTGAACAAGCTCTGAGGCAATCTGCAAGGCTCAGTCTTATAATGCTCATAATCGAAATCTAGCTCACACAAACCTTTTTCCACTGCAATTCTAACCCAAAACCCGATATCTACTTCGCTGCATTGTCGACCTAACTTTAAATGTAAACTCTCTAAAACCGGAGCCATGCTAAGTAGCAACGATCTGTCCACAAACCGCACAAATGTCCCATGATCAGCATTCTTATCGATAAGGCTGTACTGAAGTTTTGGCACCAACTTCCAAAGATACCGCCATCGTTTAGACAAAACACTAGTGTTCAACACGTCTTTTGTAGGAAGCAATGACAGTATGCGCAAGAGGAAATCATCGGGCAACAAACTTATACTGTCCATATAGCTCTCCAATCTTTTAATCTAATGGTTTTGCTGCCAACACAGGTAGAAGAAAACCAAACCCTAAATCAGAGACAAAACGATGGTATATCAAAAATGCAAAAGTTAACTGGAATGAATCAAATCGAACCAATTCCACTAAAGAGAGAATGAAATCAACCCAAGAAAATTTATGCAATTGTATATTCACATTCAGAAAGTTTTATAGAAGTTTA